CTATCTACTTAAAATCTACTTAGTGAAAGCGTTTCCTCACCATCATTTTCATGAATCGGAAAGAAACCTTATGACACTTAGATTTTATGGTGTATGTGTTCCTACCCATGTGAATTTGTCAAAACCTTAATCACAAGACAAGGTTAGTGACAAACTCAAAATCATATGGATTGAACTTGTTCAATCTTGATTTCTTGCCTCTTGGTCGCCCAAGGGCCCACCATTGCTTCCAAGTTGTTATGCATACAATTGAGAACTCACAGAACTCACAAACATAGTCAACCTTACCGGAATAGGCACAGAAACAAGAATTATGTCAACACGATAGGTTACAAACCTCAAGCCGTGTGCTAGTGATAAACTATAGATTTTATCCTTGATTAGCTCTTGAAACTTTCAAGACCTTTAAGACTCCCACTGTCCTCTTGACATATAAGTTTCTCTTTGTCAAGATCCATTCCTTGACAACCAAACAAATATTCAAGAGTCAGTGCAGATCCTTATCAAGATAAACACTTCACACAATTGGTGTCAATTGGTCTTTGTTTTATCCAAAACATCACAACTTACCAATTTCAAATTTACAAGAGTAGAAAACATTTTACTCTTACATTTGACAAGTGTTATAAACCTTATTTAAGATGTATCACTCAAGTTACAATCTTGGAGTATGACTTTCAAGACTTGTTTTTGGAACGAAGTATGATTCATCTTCCTTATTTTAACCATTCCAACAATTCATGAATCCTCTTCTTAGCCACAAAATGCACTAAGATGTCCTTAGAGGATGAATTGTGACATGGTTTCTTAATCATTAAGATGATCATAAAACAAGATACTAAAGTACTCTCCCATCTTTTCAGATTTGAGAAACTTTTATCTTTCTGCCCAATTTGATTCTTCCCATTCGTCCTGCCATACATTGAAACTTTTCCAATGTTTCAGAATTGTACTTCAACTTGTAGGTACAACCATATTTACTAAACTTTAGTAAATCATGACGAATAGTCTTATCGATCTTTGTGGTGGACTTTGACCTGCACACACCCAGTGTACCCGATCCTTTAGTCTTTCACCTGTCTCACATATACATGTGGTCAGGGAATTAGTCTTAACTTTCCAAAAATGAAAATTCTCATTCATCATGCAATACAACCTGCATGATTCCAAGTTTCAGTCCAATTGAAACCTTGGCTGATGAGAATCTTTCCTTATTTGATAAATTTAGACACTACCACAAATGAAAGAATCAAATGCACATTTCCATTATTGCTAGAACCATACAAACATCAATTTTTCATAAAATGCCATTGCAAGGAGATATAATAAAATAAAACAAAATTTTATTTATTTATAAATGCGGAAAAACTTTTTCCTTACAATGCAACTTTAAATGAAAACAATGCTATTACATATCTTCTAGCAATCTATCATAACTCTTATGTAGCAGCTCAAGAATCCGATCTTCGAACCATGCGGTTGAAATCCATATTCGCTATCAGATTCAGCATACTCCTTTTATTAAGTGTCCTTCCCTTTGCTTGATCCTGAAGCAGAGTCAAACCTTTTGTTTCTACTTGCTTTCAGATCTTTTAGGTGTTCAGGGCAGCTTCGTTTCCAATGTTCCTTCTCATGATAATAAAAACATATAGACTCTTTGGGAATGGTACACGAGATTATTACAGACTTAACCTTTCCCTTTGCCTTTTGGTCTTCCGGGTTGACCAATGCCGATCCCTTTCCATTGGGAAGAAAGGCTTTTCTGGACTTCCAATGTTACCATTGTCCATGTCCATGGAAGTTTGAGAAATAGACCTTCCACCCATATTTGCTTGACCATTGCGCCACATCATTTCTGACTCAGCAACAACAAGCAAATAAGATAGATCTATTAGGGTCATGTCGTGATCTATCACATAGTAGTTCTTAATGAACTCACTATATGACTCTGGAAGTGACTGAAGAACCCAGTCAATAGCCAACTTCCTTGGGACAACGACACCCAACATTCTCAACCTGTCAAAGTGTGACTTCATTCCTAAGACATGAGTGCACACAGGTCTTCCATCTTTATGTTTCATTGCTAGTAGGGCTTGAGTGACCTTGAATTTTTTAAGTCTTCGAGCTTGTGGGTCAGGGAGAATAAATGGAGGAGGTGGAGGTAGAGAAGTATGATTTCCATGAGATTTGGGAAGATCACAGTTGTCTAAACCAGACATCTACAATGGGAGATATTCAAGTTAGTTGATTTTAAGTCCTTAATATAACACCCAATATGAAATATTAAGGCTAGGACCCAACACAATATTTTATAACTTGGAAGAGGGATGCCGTAATCCAAGCTATAAAATATTTGAAGATAGGTGAATGACGATTCACCAATTTCCACCATGAAAAATGAAATAAATTATTAAGTTTTAATTGGATTTGAAACTCCTAGATCTTTTAGATTTATTGAACATTCAATGACATGTTTCAATCTCGATTGTGCCCTTCAGGTTTTGTGACTGGGATGCCGAGGATCACAAAACAAGGTGTGAATAACCATGCAAACTCACTTGGTACCCTTAATATTATCACCTAATCGATGTGCCGGTTAACCACACACGCTCCACCGATCTATGATAAACATTAAGTCACCCTTCGTGATCCTTACTAGTCCAAGTTAGTGTGCCGGTTAACCACACACGCTCCACCAACGACTTGGTAAGGTACAAAGTGTGAATTTCATGGGTTGCACCAAATTCACATTTTCCTAAAGTAACTAAGATTGGGAATTATAAAAATATTTAGTTACTTTATAATCATTATACTTTTAATGAGAATTAAAGTCATTGTCCTACCCGTTCGGCTAACGACCCTCCACCGATCAAGGAAGCGGTGGGTGAGAGTGGACACCCATTAAGTTGCCATTTTATAGGCAACAGCCTTATACCCCCCTTATAGACCGGCTTCGTGAATGAGGCCTACTAACGGTAAAACGACTTGATCTTATACATATATATAATAATTAACCATTAATGTTATAAATAGTATAAGGGTTGAATTTTAACTTTTAAAACTCTAAGGGTTGGAATTAAAGTATATTAAAGTGTGTGTAACTTTACAAATTCCAAAACTTGAGGGCAAGTTTTGAAACTTTTCAAAACTTTTCATTTCATAACTTATGAGTTAATGGTTCATAAAAATGAAGACTCTTCATTTTTATGTAACTTATGTGTTTAAAAGAAAGTGACCTTTGGATATCCATAACTTGAGGACAAATTATGGACTCCATTAAAACACATAAATGATCAAGAATTAATGATAAACAATTCAGCAAATAATTCCTATCATTTTTCTAAACTCATAAGAACATGAACATGATCATCAAGATTTCAAGAATTATATGAAAACATAAAATCATGGAATTTTGATATAAGCCATTGTAAATGGATTAGCATAAACATTACACCATCTAAAACAGGTTTTAAAACATCAAAACAGTTTAGGGTAATGTTTCTAGTCCATTTCCAGCAACAAAAGTCGAAAATCTGCTGTCAGTTCATTCTACTCGTCGAGTGCACGAACCTACTCGACGAGTAGGATGAATTTTCACTTGGACTCGTCGAGTCCCCCCATGGACTCGGCGAGTCCACTGTTCAGACAGCAAACAATTTCGATTTTTAACACAATTTTGCATCAAGTATCAACAAACAAGCCTAGGCTCTGATACCACTGTTGGGTTTTGAGCATTCTAACATTTCCTAAGTGTACATGCAACCCTAATAACCTTGGATCTATGTTTGTCTAAAATACATGCAAAATTTGTTTTCCAAGGTTTATAACTTATCTAACATGGCATGGGGAACTTTTAAACATAAAAGAACTAGATGAATTACATACCTTTGATTGTGAATTGATTCCTTAGGAGTTTGAGAGCCAAGCACCAATAATGTGAATGCCTCAAATGGAAATCACAAATCACCACAAACTTGGAAAACTTATGAGAGAGTATATCCATGCTCTAGAAATCGGCCACCTTTCTTCACACACACTAGGGTGTCATTTCATGCATCACAAGCTTGTTTATATAGTGCACATGATTAGGGTAAACCCTAATAACCCATGTCTTTTCCTTTCCAAGGATCCATGGGTTAAAAGCTCCATGGATCATCCATGGACTCCCATATAAGCTTAGCCCATTACCATAATGAGTGTTAGCCCACACTATATAAATATAATAGCCCATGTTTAATTAGTCACCATTTGATCACTAAATTAATTCATAATTAATTTAAGACCAATACTAATTAAATAATACAATTTCATATTAATATATTATAACTTATAATATATTAATGAATCATAAATATACTATTCTCATAAAATTATCCATATAAATAGTTCGGGTGAAGTGCAACCCAAATGGACCATGCCGGGTCGGGTCAAGTATATACCAAATAAGTTATGGACTTAGACACATTATCCAACAGTAAGGGCACGAGAAACGCATGTGTATACCATTAGATTCATATAGTTGATAAATTGAGCATTGTTGTACTCTTTACCATTGTCACATTGAAATGTTTGGATGTCTGTATGAAATTGATTTTGGACATATGCACGAAAGTGAAGGAATTTAGAGAATACATCAGACTTTAATCTAAGAGGATAAACCTACACAAAATGAGAAAATTGATCAAGAAAAATAACATCATATTTTTATTCCACTGTGACTCTGTAATGGTGAAGTCCACACATCAGAATGAACAATTTGAAATGGAAACAAAGCATGAGTTTTGGATAATTGAAATGACAAACGAGTATGCTTGCCAAGTTAACAAGCATGACAAACAAAAGGAGAATCCTTTTTATTACATGAAATAGAATTGCTAGAAATTAAATGGTTGAACACGGGTTAACCGGGGTGACCAAGTCGTTGGTGCCACAAGGATGAGCTGATACTGAGAAAGGCTTGAGGAGTGGGGGTGGACACCGGATAGAGATCACTTTTGCTATCACATCGAAGGAGGATGCGTTTGGTGCGAAAATCCTTCACAGAAAAACCAAACTCGTGAAATTCAATAGAAAATTTGTTATCATGAGTGAATTGACGCACAAAAATAAGAGTTTTAATAATTTGTGGTGTAATAAGAATATTTTTTAGGACAAGAGTACGGAAAGGATTTAAATGAATATGAGATTGAACAAGTTTAGTGACCGGAAGACGAGATCCATCGCCGACTAATACCGATAAATTTGAATTGTTGCACGTATTGCTAAAATACTTGAGAGTACCTGAATTAGCGTGAAGGTGCGCGGTTTCCCCGGTGTCCATGTACCAATCTGTATTGCCTGGATCTTGAAGGGTCATAGAATTGAACGCTTGCGGTAAGGTAGTCGGTTGATCCATATTATTTGGGCATTGAAACCATTGCCAATTATTGGGCTGTTGTGCCATGGATAAAAAAAACATGCTGTTGGGCTGAACTGGATTCAAATTGAGCCAATGTTGAGGGAAAGAAGAATTTGCAGTATTGGTCCATTGAGCTTGATGGGTCGGTGGATGTGGTAGCAGCCCACGCTGATGTTGTTGACTTTGCGTCGTCGACCAAGGGTAAGAGGCGCCCTTTCCCCAATTGTTTGGACTGCGACTAAAAACACCGGCGTCACCTCTGCTTTGTCGTCCGCCCCTGCTGCCGCCATTTCGACCGCCGCTACCGCCACCTCGCTGATTTCGACCACCGCCTCTGCTACCACCGCACTGATTTTCACCTCGTTGATTTTGACCTCGCTGATTTTGGTGCTCTGTTGTGAGAATAGTGGGTGACGATGAAGTATCTTGGTGCGAAGCGAGAAATTGGTGTGAGTGGTCTTTAAGCATGGATAGTGAAACTTTGTATTTGCCGTGAATAACCCAATGGGTTAGTGTTTCATTATATAGATGACTTTACAACAATAGATCCTAAATACATGGATCTGATCACATACAAAGTATATCACGAATACTAAATCTAACTGACTATGTTATCTTCTTATCTCATTTAACATGGATCGTTCTTCAAGTGTGAGCATGGAGCGCATCTCAAGGAAGGTGGGGAACGGCTTCTGGTGTCTGATGGTGGTGACGACGTGAGCAAATTTCAGAGATAGGCCATTGATGGCATAAATGACGAGGTTTCTTTCGGGTACCGGGGAGCCAATGTTAGCAAGAAGGTCGGAGATGGACTTGATACGAGTACAATACTCCATAACTGAAGAATCTCCAATGGTGATGGTACGAAGCTCATCATCTAATTCCATAGATTTTGTTTCTTTATTCTCATGAAATAAGTCTTCAATGGTCTTCCATACAACTGCTGCTGTGGCGTTGGGTTTGAGGATAGACTGGAGAACAGGTTGGGTGAGAGTTCCATATAACCATTGTTTGACAATATTGTCAACTGTCTCCCATTCTGGATCATCTTCAATCTTAGAAGTGCCATTAAGATGTCCAAAGACTTTGTATCCAATGCAGTGAGTTTTAAACAGTTCTTTCCAGGAGTCATAATTCAAGCGGTCGAGATCAAGGAGAAGAGGAACATAAGATTTAATGTTGGTTATCCCATAAATTTTATCATTGGGAGAGGGTTTAGGAGTAGAAGAAGATCCAGTCATAATGAAAAACGAGAAGGGAGAAGCTTGGAGAACAAACAGAGAGAAGAACAGATGTAGTAGAATAGAAGAAGATGACAACCACAGGAAGGGATCGACTAGGGTTAGGGATAATAGTAGCCTGATACCATGTTTTGAAAGATAATCTCCCGTGAAGAGGCTACAAGCCTTTACGTGAAATATATATAATACATACAATTGGGCTCATTGTACAACAGTGGGCTAACTAAAGAACATAATACTTGGGCTAACAAAGATTTAGCATACAAATATATATAACGTCTAACTAAAGAACAACAACCACTGTTCGACAACCAAGCCAAAATATCTGAAGTAGCTGTTGGGTTAATCTTGATGGTTCGGATAGAGTACGGGTCAAGTTGGGTACGGGTCATATGCATGGGTCATCAATATTTTGCATGACTTGGTCTAGAGTTGACCGAATTTGTTGGACTTGAAAGTGAAGGGTGGAGTTTGTTGCTACTTAGAAGGAATACGTGGGATGTTTATGAGAATGTGTTTTTATTGTTTTGTTTATTATAAATAGGTAGCACTAGTATATGTATTAAGCAGAGGGTAATTAGTTTACTTGAAAGTAATATAAACAATTGCTGTTTTGATCGGTGTTTGAGGGCCTGATTTCCAACATTTGGTATCAGAGCCTACGGCTCGTTTAGAAGAAGAGAGAGGCGATTTCATGTGAATCGCAGGAAGAGTGAAGACCGGCTGCTAAAGCAGCAAAGACCGTCGTCGGAAAATCAGAATACCAGCATGAGGAAGGAAGACTGGCGAGAAGTCTGACCGGAACTCGCCTGCAACATAGAAACGGAAAGTGACCGCTGCCAGGAAGATCTCTGACAGAAGACCGACAAAGCAGCAAGGGATCGGCTGCTTGAAATCTAGACCGAAGACCGCAGAGGGGCAAAAGAGATCCGAGATTTGCCTGAGAGATAGAGATCGAGTACCAATTCTGTGACAGAAAGGTACAATTTTTGATCGTATTATTGCATAAAATGTGTGATATCAAGAAAGAGAATGCCGATTGCAACCATATGCAATCAGATTGAGAGAAGGAAGAAAGGAGAGACTATCGCTCTCCATGTCTGTGCGTGGATGTTTTTTTTTGGTGCTGGGTCTTTGTGATCAGAAGGAAGAAAGAAAGAAGCAACAACATGTTTGTTGCATGTTAGCAAGCAAGAAAGCAAGTAGCAAGTTTGTCACAAGTACAAAGCATGAAGAAAGGCTGCACAACAGCAAATTAGAAAGAAGAAGAAAGAAAGAAAGAAAGAAAGAAAGAAAGAAAAAAAAGAAAGAAAGAAGAAAGAAAGAAAGAAAGAAAGAATGAAGAAAGAAGAAGAGAAAGAAAGAAGAAAGAAAGAAAGGAAGAAAGAAGAAAGATGAAAGATGAAAGAATGAAAACAGAAAGAAGAAAGAATGAAAGCAAGCCATACTTTTGGTGATCAGAAGAAAGAAGTAGCAAATCCTTGTCATATGCTAGCAGATTAGAAACAAAACATCAAGTAGCAAGAAACAAGAAGAAAAGTAGCAAGATCAAGATCAAGATCATCAAGATTAAGGGGTGAATGTTGGGTTAATCTTGATGGTTCGGATAGAGTACGGGTCAAGTTGGGTACGGGTCATGTGCATAGGTCATCAATATTCTGCATGTTAATGACTTGGTCTAGAGTTGACCGAATTTGTTGGACTTGAAAGTGAAGGGTGGAGTTTGTTGCTACTTAGAAGGAATACGTGGGATGTTTATGAGAATGTGTTTTTATTGTTTTGTTTATTATAAATAGGTAGCACTAGTATATGTATTAAGCAGAGGGTAATTAGTTTTCTTGAAAGTAATATAAACAATTGCTGTTTTGATCGGTGTTCAAAGAGTGATTGAGGGCCTGATTTCCAACAGTAGCCTCCGGATATTGATGCTTTTAAGTCACCGATCTTTGAACTCGTAAATGGTGACTTCAATCACTCCAAGAGCACAATAAAATATAAAGGGTAACATGTCTTAACTGATGACCAAGGTGAAACTATAATAGCACATTTAAGCCCAATGAAGCTTTAATTGTCCAATGGCGAACATGTTGTTCACTTTTTACAATACGAACAAGATGATATAGATACGAAAGGATTTTATTAATGCATATCATGGTGGATGAAAACTTGATCGCAAAAACACTTGCATCAGTTACTAATTATTGTATGCAACACTTGTAAACTATTAATCAAATAAGCAAACTTGTGTTTAGTTATCTAGTGCCGAGTCAGAATATATTGTTGAGGCCAATTGTTGCGCACAAGTGTTTTTTTATGACATCACAAGTTCTAGACTATGGCTATTCAATTATCCAAGTACCAATCTATTGTGACTGTTCTATTACAATCACAATTTCACATAATCCAATTCAAAACTTTTGCATGAAACACATAGATAGCACGTTTTATTTTCTAAAAGAAAACATTTGGATGGTAAAATCGAACTTATTTTATTTATATCCACTAAGGAGATAACAGGTGTATTTATGAAAGCCTCATATGAAAAAGACTTCAAACAATTTCTAAATATGTTGGAAATGATGAACCCAAATCCTGCTTTTCTTATGTAATATCTATGTTTGTAGTCTGGAGCTTTGCTAATTGACTTTTATCTATTAGCAGTCACCTAGCCTGTGTCAGCTATATACTATGTCTATCAGCGGTCCTTTAGACTACTTATACTCTTTGTTCATTTAGTTATTAAACAATCCTTTTCTCTAATTTCTTTATAGAAGTTGAAAACTTCCATTAGTTTTATCCTCAGACCTTGTGGTCCATGTTAGCAATATCTTCATTGACTCTACTTCTTTCTTACCACAATTGGGAATAAATTGAGTCTTTACGATGGGAACTTAATTTGACTTACTTCAATTAACTCTACTGCTTTATTAAACATGGTGAATTTAATTATAATAATTTTCTCTCAAAAATTAAACCGGTACAATCTTTGCTAACCTTTTAAGAAAATGGTTGGTAATCAAGAAGAAAAAGTGTCTATTGACGTGTTAGAAAAAGAGTAATCAAGACACCTAGAACTTTATTCTTTCTTTCTCTCATAAATGAAAATGGTGAAATCCTAAAAACTCAAAAGCTTCATTGTAAGACCCCACATTTTCGGTTTGATGTTCAATTCTTTAAAAAAGCATTTTTATCTCATTTTAGAATCATTAGTTTCGGAATTAGGTCCCATAGTCATTGTTCAAAAAAAAAAAATTCAGCTTAAAGTACTTAGAGCGGGTTAAACAATCATAATATCAAAATAATAATTCAAGTAACCAAACAATACCGTGACCTTTTAAAATCCCAAATCATCCTCTAAGTCTTCATTTTCTACTACCACCTGAATGCATGTTAATATACATGGTATGCATTGGGAATGCCTAGCGAGTAATGCCGAGAATTCACACCTTTAGAGTCAAAGGAATTGGCTTCATACCTTTGACCAATGAGAATTGCTTAAAAAATTATAGAACTCTTTATGAAAATTCAAGTCATAAATCTTAGGAAAACCTTGAACATATTGAAAACTCTTGAATAAAAAGTATTAGTTACTATTCATCATATATTATTATAAAAAATCATCTTTAGAGTCCTAATAAAAAAATATCCTTATTAGTCATAATTATATACTATCTTTAGAGCCATAATAAAAATATCATCACTTGATTCATAGTAAAAGATCCTCGTTAGAGTCATGATCAAAATATCATCAGTAAAGTCTTATTCAAACTATCATCATTAAAGTTATAATCAAAATATCTTCACCAAAGTGATATTCAAGTATCATAATTAAAGTCACATTCAAAATATAATCATTTAAGTCATAATAAGAATAAATGCAATGCATTATGCTTCTAGCTATTTCCTACTGTCAATCTCATATGTCCAACCTCATAAATTATAAAATCATAACGTGAAAAGTGTCTCACAAATTCATTATGGGAGATTATCCAATTAATGTACCACCTCTGAAAAGTGTCTCACAAATTCATTATGGGAGATTATCCGATTAATGTACCACCTCTGAGGTAAACATTATATGCAACCCTAAACTCATAGCTAGGATATTTTCCTAGACCTTGTATTCGAGTGAGGCAGAATCTAGAGTGATAAGTCATTCAGCATCATCAAATTCATTTACCATGGATTTTAGGATTTTTTTAAATTGTTATATTTGGCAATTAAAAAGTAATTTATAAGACAGTTAAAAAAATATTTATATTATTTTTTCAATAAATACTTTCTTAATTATTACAAAACTCAATCTTCTATATATATATATATATATATATATATATATTATATCATTCTAACAACTATATTTTCAGCTACCGTATATTTTTAGCTACCATAACAGCCTGAGATATCTTATAGATCAGCCTAACCTAAACATGAGACAAAGGTGGTGGTTGGATGTAGTGAAAGATGACGACTGTGAGATTCTATACCATCCAGGCAAGGCCAATGTGGTGGCCGACGCCTTGAGTCGGAGAGAGGTTAGTGCCCCAACTCGGGATGTGTGTATGAGGATGACTGTATTGACCCTAGTTTTGGAGATTATCAAAGAAGCACGATCAGAGGCCATAAAGGAAGAAAATCGGAAAAAGTGAGCAGGTGATCTGTGACAACCCGAAACTTTTCCGTTATCCTTACTAAATATCCGTTAATCAAATTTGGATTCTTATCTAATTCCGTCAAATTTGATAGTTTGGGAAAGACTTTACGTTTAAATAAATCATTTCGAATTTATTTCCGTTCATGTTAGTATAATTTTTGGTCTAACGGAATATTCTAAACTCAGTTCGATCGACTTCCGTATTTGAAAACAAAGTTTTCTAAGTCGAAACATAGCATTCGGGCCAAACGACTCTTCAAAAGGAGTTTACGGCCGCAAACCCGGTTTACGACCGTAAACTCTGTTTACAGCCGTAAACCCTCCCCCACCTCCTGACCGTAAACTCACCCCTATATAAGGGATGAGTGGCCTCAATTTCTCACTTTACACACTCCAGAAGGCTTTCTCTCTCTACTCTCTCTCTCTCTACAAACTTCGATTTTTCTCAAAGATCCTCAAGAATGTAAGTGATTCTTCACCTTGATTATGTTTCTATCTCATTTCTAGTGGCAAATCCATGTTCTTAGCTCATAAATCTCATCATTTTTCTAGATTTTCTCTCTCAACAAGAACACCAAGAACACACACTAGTGTTTTTGGGACTCTAACCACCCTTTCAAGCTTCTATTTCGTAAGTACTCTACCCTTAGCTTGTTGGAATACAAGAATCACTTGTTAACATCTAGAAATCGTGACCAGAAGGGTGTTTACGGTCAAGGCAATCTCCCTTGACCGTAAACTCTATTTAAGTGGCACAAAGTTGCTACAACACCCTCCTAAACATCGAAACTAAGCTTAGAACACTTCCAGAAGACTAGAAAGGGCCTTGAAACACCGAAAATCGCACTTCTCGTCGAAGTGTTTACGGCCGTAAACACTTGGACCGTAAACACCTTTTACGACCGTAAACACTTGGACCGTAAACACCTTTACGACCGTAAACACTTGGACCGTAAACACCTTTACGACCGTAAACACTTGGACCGTAAACTCCTTTTACGACCGTAAACACTTGGACCGTAAACACCTTTTACGACCGTAAACACCTGGACCGTAAACCCATGGACCGTAAACCCCTTTTACGACTGTAAACTCATGGACCGTAAGCCCATGAACCGTAAACTCCTTTTTCGACCGTAAACTCCCCATTTTCAATCACATGTGATTCTAACACTTAGTTTTAAGTGTTTCCTAGTCCCTAAGGTGGTTTCCTTCCATAACGAATAATGTTATGCCCTCACCTAATGTATATATATGAACTTCTTCATGGTAAATAGGATCCGTTTGTGTCCAAGGCTTTTATTGACACTCAAAAATTCCTAGCAACTTACACTCGGATCCCACATCAATCTGTGAGTTCATACCCCTATACTTTTCCGAATTTTTCATGTTTTTCAAGGGGGGGGGGGGAATACAAGCAAAAAGTACAAGGAAACTTGTGCTCAAATATATTATTTTGTTTAAAATAATTATATGTTCAGTATGCTTTTAACACAGAAAACCGTTTTACCACTCGATTAAGAAATCAACTCGTAGAAACAGTTTTCAAATCTAAAGCAAGGAACTTGTGAATCTTATCATAATATGTATTGTCTCATAAAGGATTCATGCAAATCATAAACAAGATTTTCGTACTATTACTTGTAAATTCGTTAGGCTAAGTTTGAGACATGTCCTTGGTAACACTCCCCCGGATTTGTGAGTGGAGGACTACGACTTATAACCAGAATCTCTTGGAGGGAGAGCGTGACTATTGTGTATAGATCTGTACGCGTCGCTGCTAGCTATAGTGGAACCGTTAGGTTTAGGGGTGACAAAGTCTTAAAAAGATACTGGCCCCCGTTCGTGCCTTATCCAGTCAAAGTACGGTTATGGCACTCACAACTTAGGTAACGAGAATTTACTTTTCCAATATACTCCTCTGGGTGTAACTAGAGCTTCGAAAATACGGCTAATATACTCCTCTGGGTGTAACCAGAGCTTCGAAAATACGGCTAATATACTCCTTTGGGTGTAACCAGAGCTTCGAAAATACGGCTAATATACTCCTTTGGGTGTAACCAGAGCTTCGAAAAGAAAACTGCTGTCCGAGTATGGTTGATACTCGCGTATGGATAATCAACTATCAACCCTTAAGAAAATATGGGATTTTTTGGAATAACTTAATCTTTCATAAATAGTTTGTTTAATGTGTAACTAATGGATAATCAAAACTCTTTCATAAGAAAATATGGGATTTTTCTTGGGAAACAACTTTTCAGAGAATCAAGGAAACATTCCTTTCACCAGAATTAACCGCTTATGAACTCACCAGCTTTATGCTGATATTTTAAAACTACTTGTATTCTCACGGCATCAATAGGCAGGTACTTTTGCCAACTTTTGGAGAAGATGGAACATCCTGAAGTCACATCTTTTACTTTTGCTATATATACTGACATGTATAAACTATGTTTTTGAACAATGTAAATATTCTTATTATAATGTAATGGTTGTGTTTACTATGCTTACTATGATACAACTGTTGTGATACTACGCATGACGTCCTCCGCCCTGGAACGTTTCCGCCTTCGGTTTCGGGGTGTGACAGATTGGTATCAGAGCTATTGTTTATAGTGAACTAAGTATACCGAACCTTACATGATATACAACTATAAACACTAAGGGGCCTAAGTGCTCTGAACTAAAAGTATACTTTTAAAATATAAGTATTTTTACAAAGAGTATACAAGTATACCCGTATTCCAGAAACCGTACCATAAGTAGAACAAAACAAAAGTATTTTGGATGTTGAACACTGCGGTTAAACCTGGGCAGTTATGTAATCATGTCTAGGGTCAATATAGCCTGATCAACTATATTTATTCGAGACATGACCAACATGTGCTTGGGAGTGACTTTGGTGTTGCAACAGGCCTAAAACTTACCCAGTATCCCTATAACTTAAAATACTATAGGAGTATTTTAAGTCAGAGCCGAATACTTAGTAGAAATTCATTCCAAGTGTTGCTACTCATTCCTCTTAGCGATAACTTACTTGCATCAGTAACCTTTCTTTGCTTATCGCTTAGTAGAACACTCTAATCATCATATTGAGATACATATTGCTTTATATCTCTTGATTCGATTCCAGAGGACTTACCATCCTCTTCTGCCTGATTGCTTCTAGAACAAGATGCC